CTGGGGGGATTCGAAAAACAGCCTGAACATTGGGAAAAGGGTTCTTCTTGAACCAGGACAATGGCTTTGGGGTCTCAGCTACTGTTCAGACCAGTTCCAGCCCTGGCAACTGGTGCCTCTCAGCACCCTGGCAGGATCTGCCTCCCTGGACACCCCCCCCCTTTAACTATTTTTCCTGGCCAGCACACGAAGCAGCCAGCTGGGCCTGTCTGGTGTTGTAATTTCCCCCGTGCCTTGGAGGTAGAGTCACTCGAAGGGCGAGTGGGAAGCTTAAAGGGTGGCTCTGCCCACCCCCTGGCTCTGCCCAGACCAAGCCTTCGAAGGAGCAGGTCCCACCACCACCTCCCAGCGCCAAACTGGGAAAAGAGACTCGTCTTCTCTTGTGTCCGAGTGCCCCTCCCCTCCCACGAGTGCCCCATATGCCATGGGTTCTGCTCAAGGGGTTTCATCTCTTGGTGGGTATGCAATAAAATGTGTTCAGCGGGAGCCCACATGGATCCACACTGCCTTGAGGTCCATCCCCAGGGTGGGGGAAATAAAGACCGTCACTGAAATCAGGGTGAATCGCTGTAGCTGTCCGGAGGAGCAGCGGCAGGAGTCAGCAGGGGCAGAGGCAGGGAGCTCGGTTTGTACATAGAAGAGCCAACAGCCTTCAGGTGCTGACAAGGTGCTAGTTGGCCATTTCCACTTCCCTCTTTTGTCCCCTGTGTGTCATTTTCCTATGCAAAACTCTGTTCCAGCATTGAGTAGAAATAAATGAAAAGGGACGTATGCTTGGGGCTCTTGGCTGAGAGGAGCTGACTGAGTGCCTCTTTACCTCCGGTCAGGCCATCACACGGGTTGAAAGCGGACAACCGTGAGGTCAACCCGCTCCCTTTCCTCGGTTGGTGGCCATGGTTTGTTGCTCTTCATCTGTTTGGTCGGTTGCTTAGGATGTGTGCAGTAAAGAAAGCAGCCTACACAAGTCTGTAATTTCAGGCAAGTGTAAGAAAGAAATGTTTATTCTTTTTTTTTCTCAGAGTGAGATATTGAGACTTTAAGTGCCAGTTAATGAAAAAAAAGGGCAGGACTTTGGGGAACTCATAGCTAGTCTCCTCTGGGAGCATCTGTACATTGGCCAGAAATTTAGAAATGTGACAAGAAAGTAGGTTCTGTTCTGCAACAATGGTTTCTGGGCCACGCGTTGCACAGAATCAGCAGGAGGGTGACAGCCCGCTACCGCCTGTGGTGGGCATCTCTTACGCTCCTACTTCCCACAGAGAGATAAAGAAATGAAAATAGACCCTGAAAAAAGAGGAAGTCGGAGCAGAGGAAGGGAGTGGTGGGTGAGCTCAGAAGGGGCAGAACCCTTCCCCGAATGAGCCCTTCGTTCCACATGGTTGCCAGCCCTTGAGATCTATTTGAGGACAAAAGATGATCTGCTGAGCACCCTCCGCCAACGGGGCCTGGGAACCATCAGCACAGTGGTGGAGATCTTGCCGGCGCCGGACGGGATGAACCTGTGGCCGGACAAAACCCTTCTGCCCGGGACGCTTTTCGTCCTCCTGTTTCTGGGTGAGTTGCCTTTCCCAGAGAACTATGGCTTTTTCTCTCTTTCCTGCTTTCAAGATCTATGGCGGCTGGGGACAATGGGAGTTATAGTCCAAGTGCTGGCTTTCTCTTCCTTTCAAGGACAAACGAAGGTTCATGTTTTCATAGGGATGTGAAAGTGTTTCGAATTTTAATTGCATTTTTAATAGCATCGTAAACCTTTTTTTTCCCTATCTATAATGGTAGGCCTTTTCATTGACTCTTGTTCTTAACTGTCCTGGGGGGTGGGGGTGGTCCCAGGACTGGGGAAAAGGCACTGCATCCCGGAAAGAAATGTAGACCTAAATAGGTCCAATCCTTATCGGTCGTTTAATGCTAATACTACCACTAATCTTGTCAGCAGGAAGCTAGCGGATTAAAGAGAGAAGGTTGGACTTGATGACCTCAGAGGCCCCTTCCAACTTCATTATTCTGTGATTCTATGATTTTTGTTCCAAAGGCAAATTGAGAACACCAGTCCTTGGTCTGAGATTCGGATCCACTGTCAAGTCAATTCTCAATTACAGCAGTCCCTTCCAGGATTTTCCAGACAGAGAGTACTCAGAAGTGGTTTCTCATTCCCTTCTTCTGGGAGGTGTGCCCTGGGACCAACATGCAGCTTGCCCAAGGCCACCCAGGCTGGCTCTTTTCTTAGTTGCCACAGTGGGGGAATCTCTGACTCTGCAACCAGAGACGGAAACCGCTGAGCTAGACCCTTGAAACTATGTCTTAGACTTGAAACCCGAGGCTTTGTCATGTCTGTGGCTGTTTAGGGTCCTGCAGTGGCTTCTATGCTACTAAGGTGAGATTAGCATGTTACCTCTTGGGAGTCAGGCTCCATGGGTGAAGGCAGTAATGTTGCCCAGAAGCTAGTTTGGTCTCAAATGCATGCAATGGAGTCCATTTCGCACATGGTTCCTCTTTTTACACCCGTTGGACAAGGGGGAATTCATGAACCCTGTGCGCAAGCAGGAAACCTCCTTTTGCTGAACCAAGCCATCTCCGGCTTCTGCAACTCTTGAGTTGGACATCATAGGGAGCTTTATCACCCTAAAAGCCGAGGGGATTCTGGGTTAAGGCTTGGGGGAGCAAAAAACAACAACAACCCAGTATTTCCTTGTGTTTTCTGGCTTGTTCATAAGAGCAGCATGATGGGTAGAGGGCAACACAATGCAGGGTATAATTGGCTTGTGCAACTCTTGAGTTGGAGCTCATAGGGAGCTTTATCACCCTAAAGGCTGAGGGGATTCTGGGTTAAGGCTTAGGGGAGCAAAAAACAAAACAAAACAACAACAAAAAAACGCACCCGGGTATTTCCTTGTGTTTTCTGGCCTGTTTCTTAAGAGCAACATGATAGGTAGAGGGCAACACAATGCAGGGTATAATTTACATGACATTAGCGCTGCTAATGATAATGGTGGGTTGGAATCAGCTCAAATCAGCTGAAGGGCATCTACAACTCTTCCATACCTACTGCAAATTTTATTTAATATTTTATCCACCCATATAACCAGTTCCTCACCTAATCCTGAATTGAGATCTGGTAAGCAGAAGAAGCATTACTGACCTCCCTTGCGCCCAGGACTTGCTGAGTTCAGCTTTATGAGGTCAGCAGAGGCATCTGGAAAAGTCCCACGAAGTCACACTGGCTGGCTGGCTATCAGAACAACCACTCAAATTGGCTGAAGGACATCTACAACTCTTCCATGCCTACTGCAAAATTTATTTAACATTTTATCCACCCATGTAACCAGTTCCTTGCCTAATCCTGAATTATGCCTGAGATCTGGTAAGCGAAAGAAGTGTTACTGACCTCCTTGTGCCCAGGACTTGCTGAGTTCAGCCTTATGAGGTCAGCAGAGGCATCTGGAAAAGTCCCACCAGGGTCACACTCTGCTTCGGAAGCAGAAAGCTTTTCAGCCGCATCAACAAATCTGGGAAGATTTTTGGAAAGGAAGGTGAGGGGAAGGCAGGAATCACAGACCTCGCCAGGACTCCTGGGGGTCTCTTCGAAGTTGCAGCAACAGAATGACCACAAAAATGTGTGTCACCGCTGAGGAAAGAGGCTCAAGAGGACACCGTGGTGTATGGTTAGCAGTGTCCACTCCAGATCTTCGGAACACTGGCTGAGCTTCCTGAATTCTTCTTGATTTTAGCTGATCTTGTCATGATGGGAGATGGGAATGAGGGACGTCTAGGTCCTTATGCATGGATGGATTCTCTCTTTTGTCTTTTTTTTAATGATGATGAGGTTGAGGATGGATATTCTCCCTTATGGTGATACGTAAATGCCCACCCAATACAGGAGGAAAGGTTCACGAACTTGATTCATAAGCTGTCAGTGATGGCTTCTATTTATGGTGGTCTCTCCAATATACAGCTCTGCTACTCTGCCTCTGGAATTATTCATTAGTTTTCAATATATTCGCAAAGGCTTTCATGGCTGATCTTGTCATGATGGGAGATGGGAATGAGGGACGTCTAGGTCCTTATGCATGGATGGATTCTCTCTTTTGTCTTTTTTTTAATGATGATGAGGTTGAGGATGGATATTCTCCCTTATGGTGATACGTAAATGCCCACCCAATACAGGAGGAAAGATATACGAACTTGATTCAGAAGCTGTCAGTGATGGCTTCTATTTATGGCGGTCTCTCCTATATACAGCTCTGCTACTTTGCCTCTGGAATTATTCATTGGTTAATTTATTACAATATTTCTGACCGGCTCTAGACTGCCAGCTCTCAAGACAGTGTAAAATCAATAAAATCAAGTTCAAGAACACACTGAAGCAGAAAATAATTGTATTTTTAAAAAGCATTTTATCTTTGTCTAGTTAAGATGGAGGAGGAAGAAACTTGACGTTACTTCAGAGAGGAAGGAAAGAAGGAGAAAAGACCAAGAATGTAACTCTAAACATAGATCTAGAAAAGATATTCTGGATCATTTTGCTAATTTCTCTCTCTCTCTCTCTCTCTCTCTCAGCCACACACATACACATGCAGAGAGGGAGGGAGTGGAAATTGAGATAAATGGTTACACATTGCCATTCTGTTCCAAGAGGTTTAATCTTTCCTCTTGTCGTAGTCTTTCTACAACGAATTGTAATGCGAGGCACCACTGTACTTGTCTTTCAGGGTCCACAGCAACATCATCCATTTCCGTAATCCAGAAACCCACCTTTGTAAACCTAACAGAAGGGTCAATGCTGAATATGGAATGCTGGGTTGACGGAAACCTCACTCGCACATGGTCTATCACCTGGCATAATGATGAATGTGATGGAGAGAAGAAATTAACAAATACAAGCCGAATTCTAATAACTCCAAATGAAGCAGAGAAAAGCAGCCACTTTAGTCTGAAGAGAGCAGATATACAGGATGCTGGGAACTACGTGTGTTGTTTTGGCAATATAGAGACCACCAAGGCTGCTGATAACGGGACACGAGTGGCCATTCGCGGTAAGTAGTGACCGTCCTTACCGACACCCCTTTGGAGTTTAGGGAGCTCAGGTGGTCTTACGCTCGTAAATGTTAGGCAGCTGTTTGTGTGTTTCTAAAACGAGCTACCCAGACATTATCAAACGTCCAGAGGAGACACATTTTCCCCAATTTTTTAAATATATATTACTATCGCTATCATCCTATATGACTTCACATTTCTTTTTAAAAAGAGCTTGGTTATATTCATATGAATTTATATGGCACTGCTCTGATGAATAATGTTAAGGCAGTAACCATTTCTGTGATTTCTACACTTCCTCCCTTAAGAAACAGTCATTGATTCCCATTGAAATAAAACTAGTTAAGAGTATCTTTTTACTACGACTTCAGTCCTTTTATCTGGCAGAGTTCCTGTGCTCGTGGAGTTGCACAAGAGGCACATTTGTGTGTGTGTGTGTGTGTGTGTGTGCGTGCGTGCGTGCGTGCGTGCGTGCCCGTTCTATAGTCTTCCACATCAAAACACCCCGCTGGTAGAAAGCTAGAGTGTCTGGACTAATTTTTCCATCTTTTTCCTGTGCTTGACATGCAAGGTTTGTGAGAAGGACTGCACACTGGTGAGGTCACTCACAGTGTGAATTTGAGAAAAGTGATTAGTTAATTAATCTATTGCATGCAAATTCGGACAGCGTCTGCTAACATACCAAAGGTCTGTCCCACTATATCTGCATCCAAAATTTCTAGAAAAAACCCAACCCAACAACAGAAAGAACCATACCAGACAGAATCTTACCGGGGGATTTACACAGAGTAAGTGTAATAGCATAAATCATGGTAGTGAATTGTCACTAATTAACCAGTTGGTGTTCACAATCCTGCTTGCACATGGCCAGGAATGTGAGCTGGCACTCCGTTAATTAGCAGCAGTTTGACAATGTTAGCATAAATCCCTAACAGGTTTCTGAGCTCTGCTTTTGTTTTTAGACAGCAGCCATAGGTCACAACAGTTATCACCTCAGGAGACACTCCCCCCCCATCCTTTCCCAAACAGAAGAAAACTCTGCTTAAATATGAAGTTTACCACCTGTTTGGTTTTTTTGTAAGCATTCAAAAAGCAAAGCAAGGCGTTACACATTAAAATAAAATTTGTTGTCTGATTAATTGTGAGGTCTATTTTTTATTTCTTAATCTTTTTCTAAACTGATTGATTTTGTCATTTAATCAATTAAAAGTTGCAGCACTTGATTTTTTAAAAAACCATGTACTGCTTCACAAATGCATATGCCTCCTCTGTGCTAAAGACCTAGATTGCTAAGTTTCCCTCTGTCTCTTTCAAAATATACTGAATTCCCTCGTCCGTTCCTGCAGTAGAATAACGGCGAGCATGGTTTTAATGGAGAAATATCTTTTCATGCAGAAATAACTGATCTGATGGTGAACCAGACACCTGGAGATATCGAAATAATGGAAGGGGAGAACATTACTCTTGAGTGTCGATTCAAGACGGTCGGCAACCTCAGCAACATGTACGTACGGTGGTACAAAAATGAGACCTTGCTGAGTAACCAAACGGAGGAACAAACCATAAATGAGGATCTGGAAGAGGGTTTTTCTTCTCTCACTCTCTGGAAAGCTCACACGAGCCGTTCAGGAATGTACAGGTGCGAGGTGGGCGTCAGGGGAAGGAATCTGACCGGATCCGGGAAGGAATCTCGCGTTATCATCTCAGGTAAGGTCCTGGTTAGATTCACAAGAAGCACTGAATGAGTTATACAAACAGACCCTGCTAAGACAGTAGTTCCTGTTGAAGATGACGACATTTACAGATCAGAGTTTACAAATATGAGAAACAGTAACAATGGCCAGGTCTTCAGGAACCCTTTGCTAAGAGCCAAAACCTGCCGAGACCCTATTGGGTCCCTGTGATGTCCATGCATGGACCTTGAGATACCGCAGAGGTGGGACAGGCAAGCTTGGAGGGAGGGGGAACGACTTCTCAGCCCGCCAACGGCAGAAGGAGGGACAAGGGGAAGGGATAAATGGACCCAGAATTGAGGTTCAGCCAGGCGATCTGTGTAACGAGCCAACTGATAGCCAAGGGGTAGTGGGGGGATCGAGGGACCCGGCGTGCCACAAAATGCACCTGAAACAGCAGCAGTTCCCTTTGGAACGATACAGAACTGCAGAGCATTTCCATGGATTCTTATTCAGGTCTTGAAAACGATGGTCGTGGTGGTTCATGTATATGGCTTGTATCCATGTATGCACGTGTGTGTGTGTGTATTCATATACACAGATTTATTTAAAGTTTATTATATGTGGTTTTTATTTAGGTCTAAGTAAAGGTGCCCTCCAGATTTGTTTTAACTCCCTAATTGGTTGATTTGGTTATTGACTAGAGTGGTCAAGTAGACCAGATAGGCGGGGTATAAATCCAATAAATAAATAAATAAATAAATTTTTGCTCTGAAGTCTAGTTTGTAATGTTCGATGAATGTTATCATAAAAACACAGCAGCTGCTGCTTTTCTCCCTCCAGAGTGCATTTTATACATAAAGCAGAGATGATGCATAAGGAGGTTCCCCACTTCCCACACCAAAAGCAAACATCTCCCTTTGCATTCTTGGGCCCGTCGGCCAAGGAGAGCCCTCTCCCAGAGAGGCAGAGCTGTTTCCTGAGGCTTCTGCTGGCTCTCCAAAGCCTGGCGACTGTTGTGCTGCTGAGACCGGTACCTCTATTTTGGAAAGAGAACAGCGACCTTGAAAAACATCTCTCTCTCTCTCTCTCTCTCTCTCTCTCTCTCTGCGATCATCATGACATTTACAGGGTTTTGTTGCTGTGATAGTTGTTGGTTTTGGTACCTGATGACTGGGAAAGGGGGAGACTTTAGATGTATTTCTGAGCAGAATCTTATGGAAAGATGTCTCGGTGGTGGATGGGTGTGTGTCAATTGTTTTCCCAAATTGTTGTTGTTACATGCTGTCAAGTCACCCCGACATGTGTTAACCCTGTGAATGACTGATCTCCCAAAGGTCCTGTCCTCAACTCCTCTGCTCAGCATTTATAAACCCAAGTAAATGGCTTCCTTTAGGGAATCGGTCCATCGCATATTGGGTCTTCCTCTTTTCCTGCTGCCTCCCACCTCTCCAAGCATGAGGGTCTTTTCCAGAGAATCCTGCTTTCTCAGGATGTGCCCAAAGTAAGGAAGCCTCTGTTTCAAACTTTTTGCCTCCAAAGATAGTCCAGGCTTGATTTGATCTAGGACCAACTTCCCAAATTAGGCCCAGCCTAGGCAAACAGTCGTTACGGCTGATCTCTGCCTGGCCCTGTCGTTCCAGGACAGCTGCCCTCTGAGCAGAAGACAAATCCAGACCAAAAGCCTGGCTCTGAAAACCACAAGGAAGCTGGTGCTGGATTCGAAATCGGAGTCGCAGCCGGAGCTGCCGTGGGGGTCTTCCTCTTCTTGCTGCTGATCGGGGTCTTCGTGTGGAGACAGAAGAAGAGGGGTAAGAAGAAGGGAAGCCAGTCGCTTAGAGGAAAGCCTGCCTTGAAGAGAAAGATCTTTTGGCCTGCTTGCGGAAGGACAGCAAAGAGGGGGCCAAGACTGGTCTCCAGTGGGAGGGAGTTCCGGAGTCTCTGGGAGCAGCCACAGAGAAGGGCCTCTCCTGTGTCCTCACCAAATACAACTGTATAAAGAAAGGCCACTCCTGGTGATCTTAACACCCGAGCCATCTCCTAAAGGGAGACACAGTTCTTGGGATAGCTTGGGTCCAACCCACGGGGGACTTCATAGGTTAGGAGCAGCATTTTGAATTGTGCTGGCTCATACCCCATCCAGGATAGTGACTGAGCATTCAAATAGGTGAGGTCGTCCCCCTCCAGTGTATCTGGCTCGTTAATTTATTCCTTAATTGCCATCTATGAATGAGCACTTCTAATTTAAGGTTATTTCTCTTCCCTAGGAAGTCCAGCAGCCACATCAGGGACAGAATCTGATGCTAACGAAGAAGCGGGAAAGGTAAGCAGGATAGCTGTAAAAACAGGGACCCACAAGCTTGGAACGACGAGTCAAAGCATACATTCCGAAAAACGTGTCTTTTCTGCTCTTGCAGTCTTTTCTCCCCAGCAATGTGGTTACTATCTGTGGTTCCAGATTCAGACACACAAAGGAATCTGTTGCTTAAGTTTCCGAGAGAATCCTAATGTCACACATTGCTCCTTTTTCCCTGCTTAGGGGAGCACTCCTTCTAGAAACAGATTTCTCTGAACACATACTTTGGCCCTGCATTTGATGCTGCTCTGTTTTGGTTGAATGGAAGGAATGGAATGTCTTTTAACATATCAAAAGAAGCAGCAATGTGTGGCACCAGGAATTCTAATCATAGTCCAAAAACGTAGCTTTTCCCTTCTCAGATTCATCATAACAGCTGTCTAAGTTTTTTCCCATCTTTTTTTTTTCCTTTCTGAAAAAATCCTAAGTACTTTTATTCCATTCAGCATTCATTTGCCATTTCCCCCCGGCTTTTTATAATGCCTGATTCCTATTTTTAAAAGACCGTAAAAGCACTTCCAGGGCTGGGGTGTGTGATACTGTTTGCATTTGTGCAAAAGGCAGTGTCCTTGAGTTGATTTTTCTGCCCCTCGTGCTTCTGTGTGGTCTGTCAGGAGGGAACCAAAGGCACTCAACAGCTCGGGGCACTTTTCGCAGTGCCTGGTCTCCTCTGGACAGGTGAGGTTCTAAGAGCCCAGGCAAGCGTAACCCTGTCTTGTGTTCGTGCTTCTGTCTGTCAGGAGGGAACCAAAGGCACTCAACAGCTCGGGGCACTTTTCGCAGTGCCTGGTCTCCTCTGGACAGGTGAGGTTCTAAGAGCCCAGGCAAGCGTAACCCTGTCCTGTCTTCCTCTTCCTCACCAGCAGCATCTTCCGTTGGCCGGCCAAATGAGCGATGTGACCTACGCAGACCTCCGTTTCAAAAGAAATGAAGGGCAACCAGAATCGGAAGTGGTTTATGCAGAAGTGAAGCCTGGACGCCAGCAGCGAGCTGGCATCAATGGCCGGCCCCAGGCCAAAGTCCGTGGCTCCCGCTAGGGAGAGACACCGTCCCTTTTTCTTCCCTGGCCTCCCTTTGAGATTCATTCTTCTATGCAACCGGGACTGACCTCTGCTGAACTGGCCGGGTCCTCCCTTGAAGACTGACTGACAAACTGGCTCTCTACTGCCTAGGATCGGAGGAACGGCTACATCTCCTTCCTCCTGTTTCCCTTTTTGCTGGGCAAACCGTCCACACGCCTTCCCCAACCCAGTGCCCTCCAGGTGTTTGGATTACAACTCTCATCATCCTTGGTTCATATTTCTTATTCCCTGGAGAAGAACAGCTGGAGGCGGTCTGTAGGCTCGGGGTGGAATGCCCTTGCAGGCGGAAATACCGACGGATGGGTCGGTGCCATCCTCGCAGCAACCTTTTGCACCTGCTAAATTTTGGCCCCTGGATCAAAGCCCCAGTCACCCTGCCTCAGCTAGAACTGTGGAACTTAAAACCTGGAACCGATTCATCTGCCTTCACCGTCTCTGGGGCTCCTGGCCAAGTCCTGCTCTGTTGTTCTCTCTCTCTCTCTCTCTCTCTCTGGGCTACTCTCCAGTGGAAGTAGAACCATCGGGAGATCTGGTTGCAAGGCCCCCAGCGTCAGGTGCAGCTTCAACTTGAGGCCAGACACTGTTCGTTCATTCGCAATTTGACCATTTGTTCATTCGCAATTCGGGGAGGAGAAGAGTGGTCTACCTTATGGGGTTGTTGTCAGGATTCCTGCTTAAGATACCGCATGGGAAGTATTTTGGATTTTTTTAAACAGGCCATCGAAAAGCAATAAACGCCATTTATAACGGTTGTTTATGTAGGAGGCAAAACTAGGGGAAGCCAGCATTTTAATAAAAAAGGAGCAACACATTCCAATGTTTCATGAAACAGGAGAGAGAGAGAGAGAGAGAGAGAAAATGAGAGAGAGAGAGAGAGAGAAAGGCATACACATAAGCTTGTTCCTTGGTCATTCTAAATGGTCCCATCAAGGAAATTATGTTGGCTTCAAGGAGCAATTTCTAGGCAGATAGCCTGCAGGACATCAAATATAAAATCGGAGGTATTCAGACAGACGTGGATCTTTGCATAGCTTTTCTTCCAAGGCCATGTATTTCAGGGGGGCCGTCTCTTTGTGCCTGGGAAAAGAGAGAGAGAATCAAGTCAGAGGGATAAAAAGCTGGGCAAGCCCAAAGGCCAAGCAAGGTGGGCCCAAGGACCTTGCGCTCCTTCCTCCGCA